AGTTGTCTCTCTCTGTGTCTCTCCCCCTCCCTTCCACTCTCTCTAAAAATCAATGGAAACATATCCTCAGGTGAGGATTAACAAAAAAAAGGGAGAAAAGGAGGGAAGTTCTAATTTACAGTAGAAGGCCAATTTATGGATGACAGTATTAGAAAATCACCTTGCGTCAAACTGTTTTAGGTAAAATCTTCAATGAGTGCTAAGACTTGTGGGTGAACAAATGATAAGAAACAATAGATTTGCCCAATTCTCAAGGTGTGATAGCCAACCTCCAAGACAGTTCCCAATGATCTTTGCCCCTAGGTCAGGGGTCCTCAAACTTTTTAAACAGGGGGCCAGTTCACTGTCCCTCAGACCGTTGGAGGGTCGGACTATAGTTAAAAAAAAAACTATGAACAAATTCCTATGCACACTGCACATATCTTATTTTGAAGTAAAAAAAACCAAATGTTTTCGGCGGGCCGCATATGGCCCGCGGGCCGTAGTTTGAGGACCCCTGCAAAGTGTGGGAGAATTAATAAATATAACAAAAAATTCTAAATATAAACTATGCTAATAAAATATTAGTTATGACCTATGACAGGTAAGAAATCAGTGCAGGGTCAGGCCATTGTACTGCTGTGATCTGAGAGCAATAAAGAGCTGACATTCTATAAGAAATTTCTGCCATCTTCAATATATCAATTAGGAAAATGCCAACTTCTTTGACAAATAAATTCCAAAATTTAAGTTACTGGTGTTAACCATATAGTGGTATGATGAAGTTCCAGGTAGGCCTGGGATAAGGAAGGACTCTGCTCCATGAAGCTTTTCAGGGACAAAGATAATGGAGCTGTCAACTTCGACATGTGTTTCCAGTGGTCACCCTGAGATTTCTCTCCATTTCTTCTAGGTAGAAAAAAAATTTAAGTGGGTGTGGGGGCTCCTAAACCAGCGTATAGAGCAGTGATGGCGAACCTATGACACGCGTGTCAGAGGTGACACGCACACTCATTTTTTTGGTTGATTTTTCTTTGTTAAATGGTATTTAAATATATAAAATAAATATCAAAAATATAAGTTTTTGTTTTACTATGGTTGCAAATACCAAAAAATTTCTATATGTGACACGGCACCAGAGTTAAGTTAGGGTTTTTCAAAATGCTGACACGCCGAGCTCAAAAGGTTCGCCATCACTGGTATAGAGGGTACCTATCACTTTCACTAGTTCATCAGCTAGAACGCAGTCACCTGGCCAAACCTAACATCAAGGGAGGCTGGAAAATATCGTTTTTAAGATTGGCACTAAAAGGGGAGCTTGGACCATGTCACCCAAGCTCCCAAAGATTTACCTTAATCCCTTGTGCTTATGGCAGCAACCACCAAGCCAGGCTCAGATAAGTAACACTCAATATTTAATGCTCTGTCCCTAATATAGATTAATAAAATTTTCCTAAATTCGTCACAGCCCAACTCGTGGAACATGCAACTAAGGCTTTCCTAGAGGCCCGGACAGTATTTTACAGACATACACCCAGCATGCCACAAATCTAGATAATCTGATCTGCAAGATTTTACTCTTTGGGATCTTCTAACTATTCCATCCTCTAAGGACCCAAAAAGAAGAAGTCCCTTGCCTGGGTTCCATCCTTCTAGCCCTAAAATCCCCTTCACATGGTAATTGGAAACTTTTGCCAAGCAAAATTAGCACATAAAAATGAGTAGATGGTGGTGTCTTCAAAGGAAGAGGCTATTAAGGGAATCCGAGGCTATTGGCAGATACATTCTTGTGCTTTACAGCTTGACATTGCTTGGTGTCACAGGAGGTCAAAATCCTACTTGATGAAGGCCGCCTACCCGACCCAGTGCGGCACTGTTTAAGTTGATCAGTCAATTTCCTTTTGTTCAGCCTTGGGTGGGAACAGACACTTCCTACCTAACGATGCCTCAGAGGCGGGAGGACAGTAATTAAGTTAATCACTTCTCAAGGTTGAATAGTCCTAGTCCCTTTTATTTCTACTGTGGATCACACTTGTTAGCCACTTCCTCATTTCTGTGTCCTGCTTTGGCTCCTGTCCCAGTTCTCTGTGTCCCTTGAAAGTTGTGGAACCCTGAGCTTAATACAGAGTCCAGTTTTGGCAAGAATTTTGGGAAACAGGGTTTCCTTGGCAAAATGCTCTCTTTGTCAGCTTCTGAGAAAGACTGCTCCATTCACTTCTGAACACCCATACATACCCCTGTGAGACATGGTGGGAGGAAGACTCCCACCTAGAGGAGAGTAAGGCCTAGGGCAATGGACGGCAAACTCATTAGTCAACAGAGCCAAATATCAACAGTACAACGATTGAAATTTCTTTTGAGAGCCAAATTTTTTAAACTTAAACTATATAGGTAGGTACATTGTTATTAACTTAATTAGGGTACTCCTAAGGCTTAGGAAGAGCCACACTCAAGGGGCCAAAGAGCCACATGTGGCTCTCGAGCTGTAGTTTGCCGACCACGGGCCTAGGGCAATCCATATGCTATAGCAGCTTCTCAGTGTTTTCATCCTGAGGAACCAGGTTTAATTGGCAGAAAGAGCAGGTGGAGACCAATCTTACAAGGCCTTCTGATCCCAAACTTTTTGTTTTACTCATCCTAAATCCCTCTTCTAAAGGGAATACAAATTGGGCTGGAGTTGGGTGAGTTTCCAAAATCATCTACCCCGTTGCAGGACTGTTTTGCACTGGGTAGGCCTGGTAAGATGCTACGTGCAGCTGGGGCAAGGATAGGAGAGGCTCTTGGTTTAACTGGAAGGTGGCCCAGTTGTCTTCAGACCCCTAAACTTCCCCTTGAGTGCACCATCATGTGACATACTCCTTTCTTTGTGAATCTATGTCCCCATGCTTTCTCCATCACCCAACCCCACCTCACTCTCCCAATTTTCAATCAAGAAAACCTGACAAATTCACCCTAAGATCCAATGACTTATAAGCTACAGAGGATAAAAGATGTTTGTCTGTTTTGCTCAATGATATACCCCAAGGATACAGAACAGTGCCTGGCACATGGTAAGTGCTCAATAAATATTTCTGTAAGTGGTGTGGGTGAGCTGGACTCTTCCAGAGGAAAACTACCAGAGGCAGAGGGCCAGATGGAAGAAGAGTGAAGGGCAATGGGATGGGTGTGAGGGATGGTGAAGGAGCAGAGGGGCCCAGAGCTACAAGGGGGAGAAGAGAAGGCAGCAGAGTAAGAAGGAAGAACACCTGTGAAGGGCGCAGAATGAATGGAGAGACTTGCAGAGATCAGAGGAATTAAAGGTGGGAGCCAAGGGGCTGATGCCGCCCTCTCCGCACGGGCCTCTGTTCACAGGGCCCCTGCAGGGGGTGAACATCACCAGCCAGGTCCGCCTGATCCATGGCACGGTGGGGAAGTCCGCACTGCTCTCCGTGCAGTACAGCAGCACCAGCAGCGACAAGCCCGTGGTGAAGTGGCAGCTGAAGCGGGACAAGCCCGTGACCGTGGTGCAGTCCATTGGCACAGAGGTCATCGGCAACCTGCGCGCTGACTATCGAGACCGCATCCGCCTCTTTGAAAATGGCTCCCTGCTCCTCAGCGACCTGCAGCTCACCGATGAGGGCATCTATGAGGTGGAGATCTCCATCACGGATGACACCTTCACCGGGGAGAAGACCATCAACCTCACTGTGGATGGTAAAGCGCTCTGGCAGGGGAGGAGGTGGGCTGGGCCTGAGACTGGGGCAGGGTCTGTTAGGCCCTGGAACACCAACACAAAAGCCACTTGGGAGGTGAGAGGAAGCCAGTTGGACATTAGCAGTTAGCAGGCAGGCTACAGTAAACGGGTAAAGAGTGCTTACGATATTCCAGAAACTATTTTAAGTGCTTTGCATATATTGACTCTTAATGCTCACAATAATCTAGGGATAGTAAATATCATTATCCCCATTTGCAGAAGAGGAAACTGAGGCACAAAAAGGCTGAGTAACTTGCCTAAGTCTTGCAGCTAGTAAGTGATTGAGCCAATATTTGAACCCAGGCAGCTGGACCTAGTCTTAGTTGTGCCACACTGGGTCAGTTTAAGACATCTTAGGAAGGTATTTGGGGAAAAGGGGAGGGACGGTCCATGAGGGTGGGGACCATGGCTGCCTTGTTCAGTATGGTACCTCCTGTGCTTAGTAAGTACTCGATAAATAGCTGATACATAAATGAGTGAATGGGGACATCTGTAATACTTTCAACAATAAAGATAAATTAAAAATAAATCAATTAATAAATGAGTGAGTGAAGGAATGAATAAATGAATGAATGGATGGATGGTGGTCAAGAACTTGACTAATGATCTCTGAAGGGCCTCTCTGATCACTAACTGTGTTGTGTTGTGTTGAAGGTAGAAAGGTAGGAAGGCGGGAGGAGCTTTTGGCCCCTGGCTCACAGCGTACCCCCACCCCCACCCCCCCGGGCTCAGTGCCCATTTCGAGGCCACAGGTGTTAGTGGCTTCGACCACTGTGTTGGAGCTCAGTGAGGCCTTCACCCTGAACTGCTCCCATGAGAACGGCACCAAGCCCAGCTACACCTGGCTGAAGGACGGCAAGCCCCTCCTCAATGACTCGCGAATGCTCCTGTCCTCCGACCAGAAGGTGCTCACCATCACGCGCGTGCTCATGGAGGATGACGACCTGTACAGCTGTGTGGTGGAGAACCCCATCAGCCAGGGCCGCAGCCTGCCCATCAAAATCACCGTGTACAGTGAGTCGCCCTGCCTGCCCTCCCTTCAGGGCTCAAAACCCATGAGGGGCTACAGACATCCCCGACAGAGGGAGAGAGAGGCAGAGATGGGCCCGCTCTCCATGGAGAACAGCAACAGGGGGGAAGTGGGCCCTGGGCAAGCTCTGCCAGGAGCCAGCCATGCTGCTCGGGGCTCCTTTTCTCTTCCACCTGCTGCAGGAAGCTCTCCGCACCACACCCGGAGTCTCTCTCACTTCTCTGCCTTTCTCTCTCTCTAGAAAGAAGCTCCCTCTACATCATCTTGTCCACCGGAGGCATCTTCCTCCTTGTGACCTTGGTGACAGTGTGTGCCTGCTGGAAACCCTCCAAAAAGTCTAGGTAACCCCTCAAGTTCCTCACTCTGAGCCTCCTAATCCTTCGAGCTCTCTTCTTTTCGAAGTCTCTTTAAATGCCTTTCCTCCCAGGGCCCTGCACTTCTTCCCAGGAGATCCATCTCACCACTGTGTGTACAGTGCATGGGACCACCTCCTGCGCTCACAACCCCCTCAATGACCCACACTGTTAATGGTTTCACTCGCAGGGCACCTTTCACGGGCTAGGCACTGTGGTTGTGGTTAGCACCCTACCCTTTAAGTATCATTACCCACAGATTACAGATAAAGACACAGAGACTCAAATTGTCCACAGTCACAATGCCAGCGGCAAACTTAGATTTGACTCCTTCCAGCCCATCCTCCTGTTATCAGGCCCTTTTTACAGCCATCCACTCGCCCTTGTCCCCACCCCCAGACCTCCTCCTGCTCACCACACTCAGCAACTCTGCTCATGGGGTGCCGGGTTGATTTGCAGAAAGAAGAAGAAACTGGAAAAACAAAACTCCCTGGAATATATGGATCAGAATGACGACAGCCTGAAGCCAGAAGGTGAGCTCCCAGTGGCCCACTCGCCCAACCCATCCTCACTCAGATCAGTGGGCTTCTGGGAAAAGGCAGAACTGGGCCTCAAGGAAGCCGGCTCTGCAGGGCCCCTTCCTCCACCAACTGCCCGAAGACTGCAGAGCAGGGAGAGGTGCGGCCAAGGTAGGACCCCGCGTGCGTGGCTGATCCTTTGGTGGAGGTTGTGGCGGGACCTTGACCGGCCACTTGGGGAGCAGAACGTAGGTGCTGGCTGGTGGGGCGGGTTCTGGATCGGGGCCAGCCACCCCATTCTTTGCCCTGTGCAGCAGACACCCTCCCCCGAAGTGGAGAGCAAGAGCGGAAGAACCCCATGGCGCTCTATGTTCTGAAGGACAAGGTGAGCAGCTGTAGACCGGGTGCCTCACTAACACCAATGAGCCCCTACCACGTCATGGTGCTAGATGTGTATATCCCTGTATAGTACGCAGAATGACCTGAGAAATAGGTGTGTCGTCCCCATTTTACAGGTTAGGAAAATAAGGCTGATGCAGCTGAAGGGACTTGGCCAGGATCAACCAAGAAAATAAGGAGCAGGTCTAGGCCAGTGGTCGGCAAACCACGGCTCGCGAGCCACATGCGGCTCTTTGGCCCCTTGAGTGTGGCTCTTCCACAAAATACCACGTGCGGGTGCGCACATACAGTGCGAAGTTGACTTAAAACTTTGAAGTTTTTTAAGTTAATTTTAGGGAACGTTGTGGAGTGAAAGAAGATGTAGTGTCGAGGATGGAGAAAGGTATATTGAGATGGTGTGGACATACAGAGAGGATGAACGAAAGGAGATAGATGAAACAAGTACACAAGACGAGTGTGGATGGGAGAGTTGGAAGGGGTTGACCTCAGCGAACGTACCTCGATCAGATTGAGGACGTTTTTAGCAAAGGCCAGCTTAGGAGTATCCTAATGAAGTTAATAACAATGTACCTACCTATATAGTTGAAGTTTAAAAAATTTGGCTTTCCAAAGAAATTTCGATCGTTGTGCTGTTGATATTTGGCTCTGTTGACTGATGAGTTTGCCGACCACTGGTCTAGGCCTTTAGTTCAGGTCTTTGAACATCAGCTCCGGTCATTTCCCCTCTGTTCCACTAACCTGCCCCGGGCTATCCTAGACAGGTGGAAAGAGGACAATAAGGAACAAAGCACTCAAGTTAATGCATTTCACTGTTTACTGAGCACCTATTATCTGCCAGGCATCATGCTAAGTGTCTTATATTGGGGGGGTTGGGAGACAGGGTGGGGAACCAGACCTCCATCAGCCCTCTTCCCAGAGGTGGGAGTGTGGAGGGAATTACCTCCTTCACTTAGGTTTGCCCAGCGCCCCTTGAACACCAGTCGCGCCCCTAAACCGGGCCGCTGTCCGCTGACCCTGGCGCGTGTCCTTGCAGGACGCCCAGGAGCCCGGGGAGGAGCCAGCTCCGGAGC